GCTCTTCTCTACTCTCCCTCTCTCTTCACTTCTCCTCTCCTTATCTCTCTCCCCTCTTTTCTCTCCTCTTTTCTTTTCTCTTTTCTCTCCTCCTTGGTGCTGCTCTGCAGCCTCCCTCTCCCACTGATAAAGACCTTTGGTACAAGCCTTGGTGGTCTGTGAGATCTCTGCCAGTCAGTGCCTTTCTTCAAAATGACACGACTCTGGCCATTACAATGTAAGTGGGAATCTATTGGGGCAATTTCTGGGGAAATTTAGATTCTTAATACGAGGTGGTTCTTCCTCATTGTACCTCCTTGAAGTCATACATGGAAAACAGAAAGTAGATCAATCCTATTGCAATCAAGAGGCAACTAAAGAAAGCCATATGCCAGAGGTGGCAGAGCAGAAAGGTCAAAGGCACCCGAGACTCTGTAGGTCCATGGAAATGGCAGTGCTATGGACTCCTCCGCTAGACTTTCTTCTGTTGTGTAGAAAACAAACCCCTGTTGGGGGAAGTACCCGTGGTTGCTACCCTACGGACAGCCTACTGCAAGCCTTCGCATGCATGGCTCCAGGGTGTGGGTCCCGCCCGGTTCTGAGCTGATCTCTCTCGGCCTCTCTGGCCACACTGGCCTTCCTGATGCTCCTCTAGTGGGACAAGCCGGTTCTGCCTTTTGGGCCTCAGCAGGAGCCACTCTCACCCCTGGGGACTTCTGCTCTAGTCCTTGGGTGGTCAACTCCTCCTCACTCTTTTCAAAGGAGTCCCTTTTCAGAGGCCTCCCTTGACCATGAAATCTGAAGAAGTCAGCCCTGCCACTCAGCCTCATTTCACTTTCTTCACAGCCTTGATCCTCACCTGAAATTTCTCATCTATTTGCTCATTTGCTGTCTTTCTCCACTAACTAGAATGTGAGCTCCAGGAGGGGAGGCCGCTGCACCCACCTTGCCCACTGCTGTGTTCTTAGCACCTAATACTACGGTGGATGCAGCAGCAGCACTGGGTAGATATTTCCTCTTCATAATTCGAGAATGTAAATACTTCCAGTTTCTCACAACTGATCCCTGGGTGAAGAGTAGCCAATGCGAACGGCACAGAGAATGAAAACGATACAGAGTGTGGAGAGAGTGCCTAGCCCTTCGTCTTTTCTGACACTCACTTCCTCTTGGGAGTGCTTTGTTTGTGTATGCACGTGTGGGTGGATGTGGGTGTGCACCTTTGTGCATATGTGTGTATAATGGCTCTGTGCAGCCCCACCAGTCCTAGATGCTGAGGGCAAATGCCAGGTGCTGCCCATTGGAACCTTTTTTTGCAGTTGTACTCACTCAAAAGATACTAGGATTGTTGAATGAACAATCTCACTTGAATCCCACAAAAACTCTGGGAATGAAGAATATTGACCCATTTTACCAAGAAAAACAAATACAAACAAAATGGAGAAGAATTGTTGCATTTATGAGGGACACAACTCTGGTGAGTGTAAGATAGGACACAAAGGTGGATTTTCTAAGACCCAATCCCATTCCCCTCCCACTGTTGGCTAGTTCCAAATAGAGTTTAAGGAGCCATTTTTTCTTCTTTAAATAGGTTGTTTTCTAATTCCAAATGGGGCTGAATCTAAGCTACTATTGACTATGAATGCTGTGGACACTGAAAAAGGTCTTCAAAGAAGAAACAGAAAATGCAGGTTCTCTTCCCCACGTGGACATTCTGTAACCATGGCTACATCCCTCCATCTTTCTGAGTCTCACCTTCTGCAAGTCAGAGATCCGAACACCCATGCGTCTCTCAGGCAAGCTGTGAGAATCCCAAGCTTTGACTAAGTGTGGTTACACTTATACAGCTCTGCAACTCATTTACTTCTCACAGAATACCGAGGACACAGGAGTCCTTTGCCATTTGTGATGGCCAAGCTGAACTGTGAAGGGCCAACCATAAGGACTGGTAGGTAGTGTGGGAAGACCCAAGAAAGCCCAGCTCTTGCCATTATACTGGTTGTACATTTAAACATGTAAAAGGGATTTGTTAGACACAATATACTAGAAAACATATTGCTATTTCTGCAAAGGGAGTTTGTGTGTGTGTGTGAGAATCAGCATTCATGAAATACACAGATTGTCCCAGGGCATATTAAAATAACCTCACGTATCAGTCAGTTCAATGAACTTTGCTTTCT